TTAAATGATGATGGTTGATGATGGTGATGATGATGATGATGATGATGATCGATGATGGTGGTGGATTGACGCGCCAGGTGGTTGGCAGGGGGTGGGGGTGGCTAGTAGTAGTAGTAGTAGTAGTAGTAGTAGTAGTAGTGGCAATACTCTATCATGCCGAAATGCCTTGAAAGAGATTCGTACACTGTCATCCTGGCCCGCTGCAGGTTCTGCTGACACGGGGATTGTACATCATGGATGCTTTTCCTCATTCGATGATGCTATGGGCGCAAACTCTTCCTTTTGTCTTTGGCCCTCACGGCTAAAGCTTTTACTTGAGATCACGATAATCATTTTCGAGAAGCCTGCTGACATTAGTGTCGGGGCTAAGTTGCACCGGGCTCCATAATGGAGTGCGCTGAAGGGCGCCGGCTCTGCCACCGTTAATGGGACGCCAAGCGGAGACATTCTCGCTGCGAATGAAGAAGAAAGAAGTAGTAGTAGTAGTAGTAGTAGCAGCAGCAGCAGCTTTGAAGCCAGCTGTAAAATCTTTGAAACCAAACCTTCAGTTGGCAACAGCTCACAAGCTGGTTGCCTCTCAGCAAACTCCGCTACGGATTACTCCATCCGTCCGCTCCGCCGTGGGCGCAAGAAAACGAGTCATGTCAACTGCAGCTTCTTGTCCGTTCGGCTACAGGCAAAAACGGCAATGTGAGCCCCACCACTGGCATCTGTGGCCATCGGTATCGATGGCTCGCCCCCCTTCCCAAACAGTAGCAGCAGCAGCAGGTCTGCTTGCTCCTGTCGTGCAGGAGTCCTGGTAAATCACCTCCACATTTTTACAGCGACTGCAGAGGCCCCGGCCTTTTTTCGGGCGATGGATTGACTGGCCCGGCTTGCCCACGTTCGGGTCGTTCTTTTTGCAGTATGGGTAGCCTCGTTGCAAAAGTCCCCAGCAAGGAAGAAAGAGCTATCTCAGTCTGAGCGCAGCATGCTTATTTGTGCACAGCCGGCAACCTTTTCGACTTTTTAACATCAGACCTCATCGGACCTCAGACCTCTCGCGAAGCACTGAAGCCATAGCCCAGGGCGCAGTCCCCGTAAAGGAGCCCACCCAGACGGAGGCGATGATGAAGTTCGTCGTCCTTTTCTGAAAGCGGAAACTTCTCGAAAGGCTTGAGGGCACCCTCTGTGGCTTTGTAAGTTTTGTTGTGCCGACCCTGTTCCGGTTGGTGACTCGATTCAGGGGCAGCCAAAGACCTGCGTTGCCTGGCAAAAACTTCCTGATGCCCTGCCCGCCTCTCCACCCCAGCCGAAGTAGTTGTTGCCGAATCCATTGATCTTGCGCCAATGCTTCAAGCCTGACTACGTGAGCTGAAGTTCAGTTAGACGACAGGCTCGGTCTGCAATCAATGCAGATGCACTCAAGGCAACGGCCACAGCAACATCTGTACAGGAAGATGCAGCCAGGAGGCTCATGCCGACAATCCCACCCGCGCTGGTCAAATAGGGAGTCTTCCACTTGTATCGATCCTGGTCTGATCATCTATCCACATGCAGCAAGATGAAGTACAGAAAACAGCCTACACGACATGGAAAGCACAGCGCCGCACTCCCGCACAGAATTGCGACTCAATGCAGAGTTCTCTTCTCCACAAACTGAGGCCTTGGGCTCCACTCGGCCCGTCAGTGGTCGTCCTTTAACGGGTGCCTTTTTGTTTCTTTGGTCCTTGGAAGTCCGAGCTTCAATCTCTGCAGAGAGCTGCGTGGGCACATCGCACTCGGCGTAGTCGACTCCTTTCTCTGGTAGGTAATCGATGTCCTGGAGTCATGCGGTCGTTTCACACTTGACGGATTTAAGTCTAATTTGCGAGTTTAGCGGTTTGCAAGCCTCGGTCAAGCCAATGAAAATCTACCGTAGCACGACATGGTGCCACGAAGCCCTAGGCAAACCCTGAACCGAGCGATCCGAGCGCATTGAAATTATTGAACATCGCCACGTTGTGCTGACTCTTGCACACTGCCCGGCCTGAATCACGGCACAGTCGAAGTCCAAACCCATGTCCTTATCAGCTCTGTGTGCACAGCAGGTGTTGAATCCTCATGCATAGGCCGTGCTCTTCTTACTGTCCCAGTCCGAAGTTACCCAAGTCGGATCAACATCCCCTTCAAATCCAGCAGCATCACCACCCCGGGACCCCAAGCCCACACGCTGCTAAAGCCCACATTACCAGCTAATGGTCTCAGTGTCGGGTCGGATATCCGGCGAAGCGGTTGACTGCGCAGAGACGACAGCCAGTCCAGCGTTGAAGTTCCAGCCACGGTTGAACGTCTGCACCTGGCACTGCAGCCATCCGGATGCTGTCATGTAAAGACTTCCTGTGGTACCTCAACTCTCGTGCTACCGTTGCCAAGTCCTGAACAGCAATAGAGACTTGGTGGAGGTGGTGGAGGCAAGCCACATCGAACTGCTCGGCAACGACGACCACCCATCCTCACTACAGAGACCAAGGACAAGCAATGACTTGGAATGATCGGGGCCAAGGAGAAATGGGCTCTCGGGAGATGATGAACTGCGGTCTGCTCAGAATCCTGCAATGGAAAATCAACCGGCAAGCCTTGTACTCGGTTGCCAACACAGGCACGAAGCCCTGACTCCAGTGAATGCCCTCGTAACGAAGCCGGCTTCTGTGTTGCTTGGCAAAGGGGTACCTCTAAAATCCAAAGCTTGGGCAGCAGAGGCATATCTTCGCCAAGCATCTTTGCACAGTCTTTGGCGATCGTCCGGACTCTGCAAACCACCGCCAGAACGGCTTGAAGAGTTTCCTCTGTGACCACTCGAAGACTACGCTCTCAATGCATTAGTGCATCATTCTAAATTATGTTGCGAAGACTTCCGTCCAGCCTCCTATAGGCTCCTCAAGCTTGAGATCCCTTTGAGCCCTTCCCCCCCTGTCCCCCCAATTCGAGGCTTTCCTGAATTCAAACTTGACGTCCCAGATTCAAGTGGTTCTCACGATCACGGAACGGGATGATCACGACAACAGTCTTCCCCTGGTGGCCTGACCAATCGGAGTCGAAGGGGAAGCGTAGGTAGTTCTTTCTGGGTTTCTTATTTGTTATTTCTGCCATCTAACCGACATGTTCTGCGTGAGACAACGGTTTCTTGAGGGGCTGCTCCCTCCAAAAAAACCAAAATCACAAGACTCCCAAATCCGATCCAGCTGCCATCTTTGGGCGGACTTGGTGGTAGCGCCACGGCCTCCGACATACATCAAGCTGCTGCTGTGAATGAGAGAGAGAGATCTGGCCGTGACCGAGCTGAGCTCATGCTCCTTATGTGTATGAGTATGTGCGCGTGTTCTGGAGCTTTTGCGGTCGGTTCAGGAACTTGACTTGGGCTCACCTGCGCTCGGCTTCGACCCTCAGGACGCACCTTCTGCGAGGTACCCTGGGACTGCCCGGCATAAATGTCGCGGTAATTGACGCAGCCTGGCCAAGCAGCAGGAGCATCACACTCAGAACATGCCAACCGCGAGCGAATCATGCCATGCCTGGTCAGCACATGTTAGCCCAAGCAAGTCCTGCGTCTCTGTCAGCTTACTTCGAACCTCTGCAATCTATGCGGGCCTTTGCAGCTGCAGTGCTTCTTGGAGTTGCCGCACCAGCCATTGACAGAGCAGCAGGCAAACTCTCCTGCACGCTCGGTCAAGACGGGACGTTGAAGGGCTGGTCGGAGAGACGCGTGCAGAGGAACACATCCCGTATCATTTTGTGGCGGATTGCTGTGGTGTTCAACACAAAGCCGCTAAACGAGGTAATCTCTGGCATCTTGTGGAACAGTAAGCTGCCCGCTTCTTGTCCTGTGGGTTCGCACTCCACAGGTTTCCCGTCTGGAAGTGGGCCCTCAGGAAAGGAACGCGCCCACGAAGCACCAGACATCTCAAAACTCTTTGCGGTTCTCAGCTCACTGCGCAGAAGTCATGTCTAATGATTCTAATGTGTCTTTGTCAATGCAGCAGTCTCCCATTTTCTTTACCAACAAAACTGCTACAGTATCATTTTGGGTAAAGGAACCCTCCTGGATCTGCATGAGCCTGCATGCACATTCCGTCCCGAGTCTGATAGCTTGCTTGACTTGTCTACATCTCTGCTGTTGTGCCAAGTGACAACAGCCTTGCCACACTTCTGATCTTTCCGCCACCGCTGGTAATTTGTCGCGGCACCTCGTTCGGAGGCTGAACACTAGGAAGCTGCAACTAACTACACAAGTCGTTGGGGCAGTATATTCCATGCGCGGACTAGGTTTTACTTCGCGTCCTTGTTGAGACTTCATACTTCCAGACAAAGCAGTGTCCACACGAATTCACACACCCGGATTCCGCCACGCTGCCAGCAATGACAGTAGTGCTCGGTGCAGCGGCTGAGCCGCGCAGAACAGTTGTTGGTGCAGCCACTTCGGCCTGTGGAAGTTTAGGGAATGAAGTCTGTGGTCTGTGGTCCATGCTTTGTACCGTAACGTCGCAGCCGTGACAAAGCGTCCCAGCATCAACCCGAACCACTACACAGAAGCAAGTCGCAACGAGGCAGGCACGAATGTTGTTGAGATGGCTTCGTTGATAGAATCCTCGACGAGATTTGCGGGTGCCTCTTCACTGAGAGGCTTCTCGTCGACTGCCGGTGATGAAAATGGAGGCGCGGGTGCTTGGTCAAAGACGGGATCCCCACGAATGGCTGCACCTTGCACCGGATTCTGCGAGCTTTCTAAAATTTAAAAGAACACACCCGCCCTTGCAAAACGTCTGACTACAAAGCCCTGGTTGTCTCCTCTTGTTGGACTGCCCGTGGGCCACATGCTGCTAGAATTGGTGAAAGGATTAAGTGCGGGAGCTGATTAACTGATACTCGTAGCAGGGGAGTTGCGTACGAAACACCCATACCCACAGACCCATACCGCTGCGTGAACTCTACTGGGCTCTGAGGAGCTGCCCTTAGCCGCGGCCTCCGACAGCGCCAAATTGACTCCCGCCTTTGAGGCTCGCTTTGCCTGCGGCTCTGAGGCTCTGGGATGTAAGCTCATGCGTATTTTTGCGCCGTCAGTACAAACGATGTATCAATGCATGAAGCTATGCCGTTCCACACATGCAGTCGGAAATGCACCGGCATGACGGTGCTTTACACATGCGAATGCTCGCTCGGAGTCTCTGTCTCCATTTTATGGGTCGTGATATTCCCTCGATGCTGCAAACGCCTTCATCAACACCTGCTTCTTTCAACTCCTCATTGAGGTCACGGATTGACATCCTGGGCGAGCATGAGACCGCAAACATCTGACACGCGCTCGCACGCCGTCAAACAGTCAAAAGGTTTCGGAAACTACGCGTCATCGATGATCCCCTCAGCTGACAGCAAGACGCTCCAGGTCCAGGAGCTTCCTGGCATGGACATGGCAATGAAATCAAACATGACTCAGCCGACGTGGGTGGACTGTTCAGTGTCTTCTAACTCAACTCATTCGACCCCCAAACCCAGCCTCTCAAGCGCGCGCATAGAGGTTGGAAACTCAGCAAGTCTGTTGATCATCCCGCTGTCCAGTAAACTCACACCTGGGCATCACAGCCGGATTCGCTTCTGGCACCTTCGAGTTCTAGAATTCGGTGGCATGGCAGGGGTGCCTGGCTACGTTTTCTGCCTCTCGGGAGCCTAGGCTTGTGTATGACCTGCGAAAGTAGGGAACTCCAGCTTTGTTTGCAAGTCCATCTCGAATCCGTATTGAAACAAACGAAACATGTCCTTCTCGAAGCTCAACCACTCGATTCTCTCTCTCTCTTGTTTAGCAGGTCTGTCACTTCTTTCCAGATGCTCGAGAGCTCCCCTGTTTGACGTTGCACCCCTGACGAAAGATCAATCTCGAACGGTCTTCTCACCAGGGCTTCAGTGTCCACAACAGCACACCTCATCCGCCACGAGCCAAGTTGACCTGTAACCGTTCCTCTCAAGCAAAGCGGCCACCATGGACGTGACTGGGAGTCCTCAGTGCATGGTGTGCCAAAGCCACCACATGACCGCGACCGTTCACAGAAGACGTGGGTGCGTTTCAAAGCGCTCTGACATAGCACAAACGATTTCCCGCACCGCCGCAAGGCTCACAAAAGTGAGGACTCGCAACTCTATGGTCTTGGCCAGAGGCATCGGAAAAAAGGCGCTCGACTTAATTAAAGACCACATTTGCTGAATCTGCAAGGCCGAGTTTCCACGAGGACACATCTGCGGTCCGCCTTGTGGACAAGATGAGCATCAGCACCTGTGCTTCGAGCTGCTCCGGAGTCGACTGAATACATGCACTCATGCAGTAATCATTTGGGACTTGGCTCGATAGCAAGCCGGTGGATGTTGGATTGGCAGACAGACTTTATATGTCCAATTCACAAGCAGAATCATGTCAACCCGCACCGTGCCCAAACCCACATGCTGCAGAACCCCATCCGCATTGGTCACCTGCGGCACCTGTGGCTTCGGACACCTCTAAGCCCGCGACGCACGCTGACGCCAGCAAGGTGAGCAGAGTAAAGAGAAGCGGCAGCATGGCTGCAAAGATGTAAAGGGGCTACGGGCTTTGGGCTACGAGTAATAAAAGAAAGGGGAGGGGAAACGCACGGAGTGGATGTAATTGTTGCAATTATTCTGCATTCCGCAACGTTTCCCGATGCGGACTCTTGCAGGTGCATTGGCCGGCATGAGCTTTGCAGAAAGGTCGGGGAAGACCCCGGTAGGCCGGGCATCGGAACTTCAACTTACTAAAATCACGACAATGACAACCTCGCACCGAGATCCTCTACAGTTCCTTGTGGAATCAATGTCGAAACCTTTCTCACAGGCTTGGATTTTGTGAGTCTCTTTGGATAAATGGGCTAAAGTGCCTTGAACCAATTAACAGCACATGTGCGCAAGTCGGAAAAAAACTTATCCGAGGATACGTCTGTAGTTGCACTTCTCGTGATAACCCTGAAGGAGCACCATTGCCATGCGACGGTGACTGTCTTTAGCGCATCCGCCAAGTGAAGTGTTCAGGATGTGTGCTTTTAAGTTACTCGGATGTGGTCCAGCAACCAACTTGACCTTCCCATCGGGATCGCCGCTGCACCCCGACCCCTTGCAAGCGCCATGCTAAGTTGTAGAAATGTTCAATGCCAGCCGGATCCAGCCGGCAAGCCCTATGCAACATTTGAGTCTGCAGGCCGCCAGGAAAGACGGACGACTCGCTAGACTCTAGACAGAAAGTTTGCGGACAAAATACGCTCCAGCGTGCAAGCAAGAGCGAACCTGGCAAGACAATACAAGCACTTGACCCTGTCCAACCGACCGTCAAGGAAAAGAAGTTGAAATCGAAGTGGCTTGGGGTAAACCCCGCTTAGTGGGTTGTGCTTCCGGTATGTTCACCTGCATGCCTACATTGCCATCTTCTTTAGGCACCCAGTGACTCGCAAGCTGCGTCCTGGCTAACCGGCGCACCCTTCTGCAGCGGCTTCGCGGCGGACTTGTTGCACATCGTGTGTGACCTAAGCTTCAGCGCGAGGCTTCTGCTCGCCCCTCTCCGGCTGGCAGGAGAGCAGCTGGCAAAAACCATGCAGAAGAATGTACAAACAGAGACTAGCAAACAGCTGTTTTGGAGGTTTTGCATGCCCAAGATGGTAAGATAAGATGCTTGTCCTCGTGCCAGAATCGAAGCCCCGACAATCGGAACCCGAAGCCTTCTGAGTTCCCTGTCGCACTTGCGTGTTGGCGCGGGAAGTAATGTTGCATTGTACATTTCCTATCAATCCATCTATCCATCCGTTTATCTTATCTGTCTATCTATCTATGAACTCATCTATCTAGCTAGCTTGCAGGCCATTTAATCTAGCGATCTACTCGCAACTATGTTGCTATCAGACTATCTGTCTACTTAGCTAGCTAGCTAAATAGCTAACTAGCTAGCTTGATAGCTTTGGAACATGGACAGTACAGCATTTCAGCACGCGGGTGAAGACGTGAGTCTGAGACTCTCACGTACGACATGAGAGCATGGAATTAGCTTCTATCGATGCACACAGCTGGGCGAGCTTGCAAGGGCCATGCCGCCTATGTTGCAAGACTTTGCAGGCGTCAGAACAGTCTGCTCTGCACGCACGATGAGGTGATTCACGCGTGAAGTTCACAAGCCCCCGGCGATGCAAGGTCTGGCAAACCTGAGCCGAAGCTGGACGAGTGGCTTTGGCTCACTGGCGGGCTGGCTGCCTGGAGTCTCGTAAAACCTGCTGAAGCCTGAAGCCTCATGCAAAACATGCTGCTCTATGCCCAAATCGCGTCCCGCGAGCACCATGTCGGTGGGCCTTGAATACTGCGAAGCTTCACATCCTGACAAGTAAATCTGCGCAGCACACTATCGTGAATGGAGAACACGGAGGTCGTGCAACTTGCGCCGCAGCGGCTCCTGCACGTCATCACCGGGCACAGCCACCTCCGGATGCACTTCAGCTGAGGCTTAAGACTGAAAGCGCAGAGTCTCACATGGTCAGCTGCAAACTACTTCGACTGGCCTTGACACTGCAGGCGTACAGCTCTGCCCGGCTAGGGGTGCGGATCTGGCAGCAGAGCCAAGCAAAGCATTAAGCATGATGAACGAAGGAGCATCAAGGGTCGAAGGGGCCTACAATGACACTTGCCTGAACAAACAACAGCTTCCTTCAGAAAGCTTCAGCAGTGCAGCTAGGGTTGTGAGGGAGGGCACCTTGGTCAGCGGCACCACCACCATGCCATCCACATCGAACTGGACGGGGGCCTCGAGGTTCGAAATTGCTCTGAGCTGACATTCATCCTTCCTTGGTCCATCTAACTTGCAAGACTTTGGCCATACCCCCGTCCCCACGTCTTCTTCCAATTCCCTGGTACCCTGCTGCGTTCTCCAAAGACTCTGGCGCGGCGATCTTTGGGTGCGGTGGCGATGCGGACCTCACAAAGAATTCAAGGGTTGCAGAATGCGGCCAAGACTCAAGCTCGACTGCTTGCAGACCTCAAGGAAGGGCCCGGCCTTCTCGGAGCGGACATCGAAGTCCCAGTCGAAGAGCGCCAGGAAGTCCAGGCCGAGGATGCCCGCAGTTCCAATTGGGATCTCAGTTGTCGCCACCGAGGGCGAGGACAAGCAATCATTCGCAGCAGTCACAACCACGGCCGTGGAAACTGCTCTGCGGAAACATCGTCGTTCTAATCGTCTTTCTGTGTGAACCCGTGATCTCAAGATGCCAGCCACCTTAGGCTATATAGGCCTTGGGCAGCGTCAGCAGGAACATGGCACAGGATGTACATCACATAGACTTAGCCTGACTTCCTGTTCTACGGTGGCACGATGGAGAATGGAGGCAACTGCTTGCGGGAGTCTCGATTGGTTATAGCTTCCTACCCGTCATCTGCTCATATACCACCTTGTTCGCTGTGTCACCACATGCCGAAGCATCGATCACCCCACCTCCACCTCGATCGTACAAGTCGCTTGCCAGTTTGTTGCAGCGGTTGTGGCCAAAGGCGATCGATGCTCGAATGTCAAAGCACGGCAGCAAGAATCTATCTGGGGGCAGAGTGAGGACAGACTGATTGAGTCTCGTGAGTCGTGAGTAGTCTCATGCATACCCTGCTCCGCTCGCACTTGGCCTGGTTCCGCGACATATAAACCGTTTAATCTCTGGACACCTGGATCTACCAACCGCTGTATAGGGATATCACTGATATCACCGTCGTCGCCTTCACAAGTTTGTGCCTACTGGGGACTCCCGTGTCAAAGTGGGGGCAGACAGGAACCGAGGGTCCGAGCCGGCAGCTCTCCGGGAATGGTCGCGAGCTTGACCTCGGAATCTCCAACAACACAAACCTAGAGGGGCGAAGAGAGGCTCTGAAAATAGCTGAAAGTCGTTCCTACAACAGATCTTGCCTGTTTTGTGGCGGGACGGGGCTGCAGAGGATTTGGGGGTTGCTGTCCTGGGCCTCAACAGTTGAGGGGCTTGGGTTGATGCGGAGGGCCCTTCGACTCCAAACTGGAGGACACGGCCCGGCCTCGCCGCATGCAATCTTGCCTCCGGGGGAAGCTCTCAGCCGCGAGTGGTCATGTCTTTCCAACATCCCACTGGAAATGTTTCAGACTCCGGGGGTCCCAGTACCTTGGTGCGCCCTTCGCCCAGCTTCGCGTACTGTACCGATCGGGGCGAGCCTTCCGCCAGGAAGGCATTGCTCAGGGCGATCTGCCGAATCCCGGAACCGGAGGCCTTCGACAGGCTTTGTTCGAGCAGGTCGGCGCATCCCGGCTTAACTAGAACGAGGCTTCCTAGCCGCTATACAGGTACTTGCACAATCCTCCCCTGATCTCACCACTCCTTTTTGCGCTGGAGTATGCCAAGCTCCGCAGGTGCTCGGTGAACCGGTTTTAGACAACTGTTCACGACACTTGACCAGTCGGACCTGGCAAGATGTATCCTGAATCCAGGTCCATCTGACGAATGAACATACAACAGACATTACGGCGTTCATTACGGCAATGCCAGGAGGAACTGGTCACTGCCATGAGCTGCAATAACTCACGTGGGTTCGTGACAGCGTCGCAGAGAACAATCTGTTTGAACCGGAGATATTTGCTGTAGCCATACACCACAGGGCATTTCAGCAAGGGTTCAACCCCTGTGAGATTTTGCGCGAGCTGACGAAGCGAACAACGCAAGACAGCTTCATCGTTGGAACACCTCAGATTGGATCTCCTCGATTGTGCCCAGGGCTAGGAGCAGGGAGCTTTACTGCGCACACCCGCAGGACCCAGGCGGGTCTCAACTTCTCGAGAAGAAGCAGGTCTTGCGCGGTGAAACTCTCGATTCCTGTGGACAGTCTCCGGTGGCATCTTCCAAGGAGACGTGCACTAGAAAGGAGCCTTCCAGGAAGCGACCTCACGCCATGAAATGCATTTTCATCCCTCCTGTATATGCCCCTAGGCCGTATAGACTCTCGACCCAATCTTCCGGCAGGAGGACTCTCCTAAGGGTTCCGTCGAATCAACCGGTCCTTGTGGCTTCTGTGCCGCAGCAGCCCGTCAAGTTGAAGGGCTGAAAGGACCCGCTGGGAGTTTTGCTAGGACGTGTACAGTTTACGTATGCTCCTCTATTTTAGGGGTTTTGGGCCAGGGCCAGGGTACACCAGTCTATAAAGTCTACGGTTCACATCCTTCTTGAACGGCCCACGACGCAGAAGCCCCAAAGACTCGTGGCCAAAGACAGCCATTGGACCCTGGAAAAGGACAAGCATGACAAGTGACGCGTATCTGATCTACACCCCATGAAGTCGAAAAATACTTCTCTGGCCGAATGCTGCAAGCCTTGGCTTCAAAGCTATTTCTCACGCATTGGGAACGCTGGGCATTGCATGCTGGCGTTCGACGCCAGTGCAGCCGGGTTCTGCGGTTTCTGCGCGATCGGTTGTTCTCCGAATATGCTTGCTCGGCACCTTCAGCAATACACGCAACGACTCCTAGCCGCCTTGGCATGCCGAAGGCCGTGATACTGCTGAGAGACTGCAACACGAAACAACAACATGCTCGAGCGAAGACCCGCGATGTCCTACGATTCGCAGGATGTCCATGAGTAGATCGTTCGTGGGAGGCTGAGATCTCAAGACACTTGCGCGATCACTTATCTCGTTCCTCCCAGCTCTGGTTACAAAGCAGACATTGATCTGTTCGGAGGTGTGGGTCTGCTTCGCAGTCCCTGACCTGCGCAGATCGCAGGCCACAGCGGCTCTGTATCTTTTTGGGTATTCAGTATCGTGTGGGTGATGGGTAGCTCATGAAGCTTTGGAGGTCTCTGCATGCTGTCGAGAGCTGCAGACCGGTCTTGCGTGCGCAATCCTGCCCCCATCCCCGTGACAGGACAGCAAATGACTCTGATGTGTGATGCATCTGAAATTGTCTCTCAATCATGTTGTGGCAACCCATCCCTTCGGCATTCGATGAACGAAAACCCTGGTCCGTCATTCTATGCCCAGTCATCTTCTGCTGTCCTGCCTGGGATCGACTGGACTGGATCAACGGTGCTGTCGACACTGTTGCGACGATGGCCAACAGAGATGTCCATGATGACTAATGATGACGAAAATGGTGATGGTCGAACACGATCACCGCTTTTTCCTGCAACGAAATGCAACAACGATAGTCACAGTCATCATCTTCATGACTCAGCAGCCTATCATCATCACCACCATCACCATCGCCTTCACCAGCATCACCTTCATCACCGCCATCATTATTTTCACGGCCACAGCACGACTGTTGGGTATCTGCGTATGCTGCTCCTCCTCCTCCTCCTCCTCCTTGCTGCGGGCAATTCCCCTGCGACCGTGGCAAAACATTTCTCACCTGCTTGTGGAACAGCAGCTCAGACCCTACATAGTCAGTGGAAGGCCAAAGTCACCGCAGTGGGGAAAACGCGAGGCCATGCCTTCAGCCTGCAGTCACTGCGTGCCGTTTCCTGCGCCGTCCTACGTCCTGGGACGCAGCGGTAGCACTTGAGTGGATGGTGCAAAGCTAGCATTCACCGGCATCCAGGTAGCTTTCGTTCACCTCGGCTGTTGGTTCTATCTGCCCAGCAACTGTACTTATCTCTCGGAAATGGAGAGGATCATATCCCAGACGGCTATCGAAATGAACCTGATACAAACAACTACGGCGATACAACTGTCGACATTCCATGCTTGAGCTGGTCCGAAGTCCTAAGACTACTAGGCGGTGCCACAATGTTGGAATCACGCGGAACAACTCCCACATGCATACACACTTGGACTTGGCTTGTAGACATACGTATTCGCATGAATATATTTTTGTGTTGAATCATTGAAGACTTTCCTCCAAGATGCTCTATTCTAGGTGGTTGGACCCACGTCGTATTTGCAGCTCGGCTCCGGTGGCGGAGGCCCTGGCGTCGGGGACAAGCTGCTGTGGCGCTGGGTCCATCTATGAAACTTCTGCGCAATGAGGTAAGTTCCGATCTGCTGGCACTGCAGGGTTGCCACCATTGTTGTGAAGACACCATACTGATAATAACAATAACAGTACTAAGCCTTCATAATGTTCATAACATCATTCTTAACGGTCAACGCAGAAAATATTATAACAGTGAAAATCCTTGTTGTGCGTATGATACCATACTTTCAACTGCATCGCGCCTCCTCTGAGCGATGCGTTGCTTCACCTTCTCCGGTGGGACGAAGAGGTCGCTCAAGTAATGGAAGCCGGAACCCCTGAGATGGACGAACAACTGACAGCTTGAGCTCCTATCCCTACTGAGGTCGAGTCGTTGGGCTCATGGGCATAACGGCTTGGCTCTGCTTCGCTTCTCCAGGCGTGGCACAGCTGAAAGATCTCCCACAGGCCAATTGCGTCACGTGAGCGAGTCAGATTTGGCTGGAACTAAGAAACGGACGACGGCCTTTCGCTTGCTGGCTTACTCACTTACACTGGCAGCCCCTTGCGTTGTAATCTCCGTGGCAAGCATCATGGAGTTGCGGTGGTCAGGGTGCGGATGCCTGGCAAATAGGGCCAGTTGTGCAGCTAGACCTCCAATGTGCAGGAGAGACGAGCATACAAGGGTTAGTAAACCCATTGTCGGATTCTTAACAGCCATTTCCGCAAGCCCTGGCAGTCCCTCATCTGAACGGCATCCCTGGCACAAGTCTCCTGCCTACCCACCAGCTCAGAAGGCGAATGGAAAGGGGCCAGGCCTCACTTGGACATCGGGGACCGTCTTGGGGCCCATCCTACCCTCAATCCGGTCGCGGATCTTCTGCGCCTTCAGGGACACTGAGATAGAACGATTCAGCTTTTCGGCATTTCTGCGTGTTGGACTGCATGCGCTCCCGTTCTATCGTTGGCCAGGCAGATTTCGTGTTGTTGCAAAATCGACACACAAATAAACAAACATGAGCATGTCCACGTAGACCCTGAACTACGAACTGCTCAGGCTTAGCCACTATACAGGACCACAGTATCCTTCTCTGCAACAGAAAACCGAAACACCTACAAGCATATCTATCCTGCCAGTCTGCAAGATGTTGGGAAAAGGAGGGAGGGCATCTCGAATCATGAACACTCCCCGTTTGAACAACAGCCGCTCAAACTTGGTTCCCTTTGCTTTGGCCTCGCTGAAGGAGCTGGTCACCATGTCAGAGAGACGCTTCACATCATCACGCATCTTCACCCTGGGATGAGCTTCGATAATGCCGCTGGATTATTGTTGGGCCAGTTAAGAGCTTCACAGCATCGGCTTTTCAGGAATGGGTTTGGTTTCAACGTGACTGGCTCTAGACTAAAGTCAGGCCACCCTGGACTGAGAGTTCCGCGCCGGGGCTCGTGCAGGTCAGAGTGGAGCATTCTGCTGACACAACGACGCACATCTTCAGAGACTGCATGTCCGGGCTGACCGCCCCTTCACACCACACGGGCGAGTGTCTCATCATATGCTCTGCAAAACCGAAAGTCTGCTACGCATCAGGCAGGTCTCTGCTCGTGCATGATCATGATGGAATCGATGGCCCTGGCGTTCCCTTTCAGTCTGAGGGCGCTGTGAAGAAATTCTTCCTCAGCTCGAAACGTTGTTGCAACGGGAAGGTGCTGATGCTGCCGGTGCCAGCCAAACGCAATATTCTGTAACTAGTTGTGGCTGACCCAACTGCCTGAGTCGCATGGCGTTGCACTTGGCGATTGGCAGTACATGGCGCAGAATCACTCCCTGCAGTGTTGACATTGAAACACCTATAGTTTCTAATCAGGCCAAGCGGCATAGGACACTTCTCCATCTTGATCGTCATCCAACAGGCTAAAGAGCGTGTAAGCTTCCTTTGGTTACGAGCGTTGGCAAGTCTGCATGAACACAGATCTAGAATCTAGAAGCTGTACAATCCAAGGACTTACTTACAATGGATTCATGCGTGATCATCTTGTTTGCTACTGCTGCTGCTACTGACTACCACGACCACTACCACCACCACTACTACCACTATCACCACTACTACCACGACGACGACGACAACCACCACCACCACCACCAGCACAACCACCACGACGACGACCACCACGACCACCACCACGACCACGATCACGACCACTACTACAGCTGCAGCTGCTGCTGCTGCTGCTGCTGCTGCTGCTACTTCTACTACCACCACCACTACCACTGCCACTGCCACAGCCACTACCAGTACCAGTAACAGTACCAGAACCAATACTAGCAGTACTACTGCCATTACTACTTACTACAAGAGCAACAGCAACAACAATACCACAACCACCACCACCACCAACAACAACGACAGCAACTACTACTGCTACTACTATTGCTACTACTGCTACTACTGCTACTACTACTACTACTACTACTACTACGGCGACTACTACGACGATTACTACGACGACGACGCCTACTACTACTTCCTACTCCTACTCC